AGGGAAGGGAAGGAGCAGGGGGAAGGCAGAAGGGGGGGTGAGACAGGGAGAAGGAAACATCAAAATGCTGCTCTGGGATGCTTCTGGTATTCTCAGAATGAAGAGCCCTGTTGGTTAGAACTCATTTAGTGTCCCTATGATTCAGCTGAGCTGGGTCTGTCCCAAGTCCCATCTAAAGAGCTTTTCTATAACGCTACCAAGGACTGAATCTAAATGACCAGTTTCCTATGCTGATGAAAAATTTCTCAGCTGATGGATCTGAACATCGTAAAATGAAACCAACCCCTGAGTATAGCAACCTCATCTCTGAAGATTTGTCAGAGGCAGCCCCCCTTTTCTGGCATTTTATAACTTTTCATAAAGGCAAGTCACAGACCAGTGATGGCGAACCTTTTGAGCTCTTTTACTTATTGGGTTAAATAACATTAATATTAATTTTACCCATTTCTTTTTACTTTTTTTAATATGGCTACTAGAAAATCTTAAATTCCATATGTGGCTTGCATTATATTTCTATTGAACAGGACTAGTCTATAACCCCAAAGCCAATCTATATATATAAAAAGCCAGCAACCGAAATGGCCCATAACGACTGGTTGCTATGACGCCCACTGTGGTGATCGCCCCCACACCCCAATAGGGGGCGGGTCAGCTTGCCAACCTCCTGCCATCTCCTCTTAACAGGCCTGGCCCCAATCCGCCCCAATTGGGGCCGGGCCAGCTAGACCCCACCTGTCCACAAATTCATGCACTGGGCCTCTAGTGTAATTAAGAAAAACAACTTCCCACATAACATGGCCTTGAGCTACACATTTCTGGCAGGGAATAGAGTTGGGAAGGGGAGAGGAAAAGTAGAAGGGAAGGAGGGAAGGAGGGAGAGAGGAAGGGAGGAAGGGAGGGAAGGAGGGAGGAGGGATGGAGGGAGCGAGGGAGGGAAGGAAGGAGTTCATCACTTATAAATTTGGGATAATAACATTTACCTTCTGGTTGTTATAAATGAGATTGTGTATCTATATATAAAAAGCCAGCGATCACAATGCTCTAACACCATAATGACCGGTTGCTATGATGCCCACTGTGGCCAACGAACCAGCCTGATCAGGGGATGGGGCTGGCCAGCCAACCTCGCAGCTCCTCCTCCCTGCTGGCCTGCCCCTGATCAGACTCCCACCCCGATCAAGAGCGGGGCAGCCGGCCAAACACCCCATCTCTTCCCCCACCACCCCCGATCAGCCAGCCCCACGACGATAGGCCTGCAGCCCCTCCCCCTGGCCAGCCTGGTCCCCGATTGCCCTCCTCCCCACCGATTGGGAGCAGGGCCGGCTGGCCAACTTCTCACATCCTTTCCCCCCAGCTGACCCAGCCTGGTCGGCCCTGATTGGGGTGAGCCAGGCAGACCCCACCTATACATGCATTCCTGTACCAGTCTTCTAGTATCCTATATAATAAAAGGCTAATATGCAAATTGTCCCTACTGCAGGAGTTTGACTGACTGGGAGTTACACATGCGCTGACCACCTGA